CTCAGCAATGTCGTTGGAGCGACCTCTACACCGGGAGAAAAGGGAGTCTCTAAAAGGGAAAATGTCCATCAGAGTCATCAGAGCTGTGCAATTTTATTTACATTTTGAGTCCCCAGAAGAACAGTGATTGCGGACTAGGCCTATTTAATTTTATGGGACTAAAAAATAAACAAAATTCAATCACAATTTAAACATCACTATATCGACATGATTTTAAAATTGTACTTATATGAATATTCCACTAAATTGAAAAAAGAAATATTGAAACCGAATAAATTTTTTTAATTAAACGAAATACTTTAAAAAAATATGCAAATTTTTCTTAAATTAAAATTAAACTAATATCAATGTTAGTCATGGATGATTAACTGTATGAAATTTTAGTAAAAATACAATCTTTTTATTTTTTTTTAATAACAAAAGTATGCACCAGAAAAATTTTCTGTTTAGAGCGATACTATTGATGGGGGGCCAAAACCATTGATGTTTCACAAATTTTACAATCAGCTATAGCATAGATCGTGCTATTCATGTCTTAATCAACCTTATTTTATACCTAACCATACATTTCCATTTACAAATAGGTTTTCTTTGTTTTTATAGTTTGTAGTTCATTTCCTCCGATTTTCGATAGTACCGATACTATCTATTTATTGCATTAAACTATACAATACAATAATAATATACAGTTCTATAGGTGTTGCCCACTATCGACTTTTTCCCAACCCTATTTACTATGCAAGCTCACATTGGATAACTTATTCATTTTGTGTATGTCTTAATTTTCAATTAACTGATTAACCACCTAACTGCTGACCAACTTAACTTCCCATCTTTTTAAAATCGTTTTCTTAATGATTTTAAGACAACAAAGTCAACTCAACAGCGCTCTTTCCCCAAGTGTGCTCCTGGCCATTTCAATTTTGTAATTGAGATTAGCTTTTTGGGAATAATGGAGATCAGATCATTTAATTAACTTTGTTTTCGAGCACGTCTCTGCCACTGCGGATGTCAAGGGCTGTCTGGGTGGGCGTGGTCCTCGTATGTTTGTAGATGTCCCCAGCTCCTGTGGGTGTGTGTCCGACGGACACACTGACGTACCGATTGAACTAACAAGTTCTCGAACGCAATAACTTTGCGATTGCCGGCCACCGTTAGTGGGCTTGGCGAATGCGAATGCGAATGCAAAAGCCAAAGCCCTCAGTTGTCTGTTAATTTGCCGAGCAACAATTCCATTTGTTAATTCCGGCCGGGCATCTTTTGCTCAATTTGGCAAGCAGATGAAGCAGCCTCGGCCATCGGAGGCTCTGGGTCCATGTGTCTCGATTTCATTTCCGAAATTGAATTGCCAAAAATGCGGCATCAGTTTCCGCACTCAGGCTCCGGGTCTTCAGTTGTCGGAGCTCAGCTCTCGGATCCCAGTTCCAATTATAATTATGCCAGTCTCAGTTGGTCTGAAGGACTCCATCTCTATCTCTATCTCTACCTCCATCCCCATCTCCACCTCCGTCCCGATGCGTTTTTGGGTCTATGCATTTCATTTACACTGGCTGAGCCGACCAGAATCCGGACTTTTCCGTCCATCCTACTATCCGTCCGCTCCTGACTCCGACTATCTTCGTCATCGTCTGGCGGCTGCTGTTTTATTTTCACTTTTCCTTCTCGCATGGCTTAGAACGAGCCAAATTGCATTCAGCTGTTTGTTTTTATGCGCTGTCACGAGAATTCCAAACTACTTTTGAATAATTTCATTTATTTATGTTCCCCATTGCTCGGCGCAAAAGTTTCGCTGCAGTTGCTCCGATTCTCCGCTCCTGCTGTCTTCAGTCAGTCAGTTAGTCGCTTATTTATTTAGTTTTTTTCTTCCCCCTAAACTGCTAAAAAGGCGCAAAACTTGTCGCTGTGTGTCAAAAGTTCTGCCTTGGGCTTTAAGGGGTCTCGTCCCGTGTCCGCTCCTCTAATTCCGCCGCCAATTGATGCCATATTGTGCTCGCCCTGCTGATAATAAGGCATCTTAAAACGTTTTAATTAGATTTGAGTCAAGGAACACGGGTCTGGACACCTTGTTATAAAACTAGAAGCCAATCACAAAAAAATTTAAGAAAGAAATCCAAAGGAATATTTTATCATTCGAAACATTCTGGCTTACTGGCTGTTTCGAGAGCTCCCAGAATTACAACTTTAATAAATAGTTATATCAGCTTTCTCCGTATGCTAGGCCCAACCAATTTGTTCTTACGTAATACATAGCAATAAACGGTAATTTTACCTCCCCCGGGAGCCCACCCCATTTAAATATGGGCTAATCCTATTACATCTGCAAATGCAAAAGCCTTCATGCTGCAGCAAAGTCTCATTTAGCTCTTTGAGGTCTCACCGGCAGCCTCTGGCCAGTGTTGGCCTCTGCTGAATGCTTTTGGCAGGTGACAGCCAAACTGCAGCAACGAGCGCTTGGCAGACTTCATGTAATGCAATTACGCATACGCCGCGTGCACCCCGCCCAGTGTGACTGGCATGTGCGGCTAATTAGGTCCTAAATGCTCCACGCCATTTTGTTGTCAAAAGCCGCCTGCCCGAATAGGTGGGTGGCCAGTACTACGTGTCCAGACTTTTGACAACCAGCCAGTTTCGTGTTCCCAATCGTCACAGCTCATTAATTCACAATGCGATATTATATTATAAAAAACACGTCTACGAAGTTTTTGGATATATGTTCGGCTTGTGAAAAGTGGGGAAAGGTGAGAATAATTAAGAGATTTCCGTAATAGCCGAAATCTGCCATGATTTATGACCCACAAAAAATATTTAGAATTTGGAAGACATAATATTATATAGAATTCCAGCAATAATAGTCCCGAGACCATGCAAAAAAAAGTACAGTCCAGATAATGTGTGCATTAGCGATAAGCAAAACACTTCACTTACAAGTTCATATGAATGTGGACTGACAGAAAAAGTAGAGCTCCCAAAAAAATATGTCACACTTTGATTTGTTGTACCAAAAATGTAATTTGACTTATAATTTAAATACTCGCAGTAAGTTCCACTGCAAGTCTTTTTTGAGTCTCGTCTGATATTTTACTACTATGTCCAAAGATCTTGCTCTTGTATTTTATTTTTCAGTGATTGTGTTTAGCATATGTGATTTTATATATAAACAATAAGAATATTCAAATTTTTCGAATTGCTATATGACTCGACCGTTATCGCTGATTTACATATAAATATATTAAGAAAAAACATCGAATACGGCGGGGTATAAAAATAATCGTCTGTTTGATTTCATTTAGTTTCGGAGGCGACGGTAATTCGGCTCGTAGCACTTCAAAACAATGAATTCAGTGGTTTTGGTGTTTATCCTGACGGTTTCTGCCTTGCACAGGCTATCCGTTATTGATGCTGTAAATTCACTGCAGGAAAACTTGGAAACAAAGTGTAGAGGATATTGTTTTTCGGCTTTCAAGCCAGTCCTTGATCATTTAGTACTGGTTAAATCAAAAGCCGACAATAACGATGAACTTAAAGAGCAATTATTAAGAATGTCAGGAACTGTCAATGAATTAAAGAGTCAGTTAAAAAGTGCTGAAATAACTCACAGGGAGGAGTTAATAAAACTAAAAAACGACCTCATTAATGAAAAAACGGAACAGCTTAAAATTAAATATGAAAAAGTGAATTCTGCGGTAGAAACTAATAACTTGCAAAATCAGTTAGCAATAGCTGAGTGCCAAATTAAAATCAACGATATAATTAGTGCCAAAGATAAGGAATTAAATGAAAAAAATGAACAAATCAAGTCAAAAGATGAGCAGGTCAAGATTCAAGTTGAACAAATAAAAAATAATAAAGACAAAATAAACTCTATGGCTGAAACTAGTAAACTCAAAGAGCTTTTAATCTTGAAGAATAAAGAAATGAGTGAAAGTCAAATAAAGTCAAAAGATGAACAAATCTCGCATCTAAGTAAGGAGGTAAAGGATAATAATAACAAAATGAATACACTGGCAGAAACTGTGACAAGTTGGCAGAGCCAGTTGAAAAACGCGGAAAATCAACTTAAAATCAGTGAAAACATATTAAATATTAAAAATATGGAAATTAACAATAATTCAGAACAACTTAAAAAGAAAGATGACGAAATTCGGGATCAAACTAATCAAGTTAAAAGCAACGCCCGGGAACTTAGTATCAAAAAAAGTGAAGTAAAGGACCTAAGTGCACAAATTGTAACCAAAGATGACCAAATTAATGATCTTAACCACCAGATTTTGAAACATATTGGGTTAGAGAATTGTCCCAGGAGCGGACCAAGTGACATTTACCGAATAAGTCTTAACGGAAAAATGTTACTGGAAGCCCCCTGTAACTCTACTGGCTGGCTTATTATTCAAAGGCGGCAGGACGGATCAGAAAACTTTGCTCGCAGCTGGTGTGAATATAAAAATGGCTTTGGGAATATAACAGGAGAGTTCTTTATCGGGCTGGAAAATCTGCACAAGCTGACTAACAGCCGAACTTTCGAACTCTCCATTAAGCTTGGGAATGTTAAGGGTGACTTTATGATAACTTCAAGATTGGTAACGAAGTAGAAGGTTATCACTTAAAATCGATCGGGGAATACTCTGGTACAGCTGGAGATTCCCTAAGCTATAATCATCATAGCAAGTTCCACACATTCGATCTGGATAACACGTGTAAATGTGCTCAACTTCGCTCTGCAGGTTGGTGGTACGCTTGTTGTTCTTATAGGTAAGCAGAATGACTTAAATCATAATTGTATACGTACTTACAATTTAAAATAACTGACAAATTTTTATTTCAGTTCTTTGAATGGGAAGTTTTTTAAAAATGGAAAATCAGTAGAATATATCGGAATAAATTGGTATAATTGGTACAACGACGCAAAGACGTCCCTTACCTTTGTTGAAATGATGATAAGACCAAAATTTTAATGAAATGATTGCCAATTTTTATTAATATATCCCACAGTAAATCAAAGAGCAGGAAAATGTATGTCAATATAAACAGAATAAATGTAACATTTAACTCAGAAATAGTTCACAGACTTATCAGCTATCTAGAGTCTTATGGCTTCTTGATCCACAAAATTAAACATGTTTTATTGGTGAGTTTAAGTGTGTAACTTTATGCCTGCCAAACCGAATAGAAGCGTAAAAGTCCATTGCAATTGTCTGTAAATTAATTTTCCAACTGCCTTCTGACCAAGTTTTAAGCATTTTATAGCCGAGCTTCAGGCGGCCTCTGGAGTGTTCGAGGTCCGGGAGTTGCCTGCTTATAGGCTGCGCTTTTGTGGAGCCACCAGGGATACGTCCTCCTGCGATTCTGGGTGGTTCGGTTCCCGATCCGGCAAACTTGTCACTGGAGCAGAAGTTTCTGAATGCATTCTCGGCGCCAACTTCTTGGTGCGAAAAGTTGGCGCAAAATACTTTGCTCGAATATTGTTTTCGCATGCTTTTGTTGCGCTAAGCAGCCCGTAAGAAGTCGCTTTTCCCCGACTTTCCCTGCGAGTGGGTCCAGATCCATCCAGACAACGTAAATTGTGCTGTCTTTTTAAGAGTTTTTATTTTGTTAGTTTTCTGTTGTGCCTTTTTCGGTTCGCTGTTTTGTTTTATTTGGCTTTATTCGGTTTGGTTTTCTTCTCGCATTTTTGCCATGTATTGGCATTTCAGCGCTTATTTGTATCGTTTTCGTTCACTTTGTTGTACTTTTGCCATGGCTTTTCTTTCTTTTGCATTTGTTTTTGTGTGGTTGCTGTTTTCAATTTTGTTGCAAGCGCAACGCATTTGTGTTGTTTTCCTCTTTTCAGATTGTTGCCGCTGCAGTTTTTTGGCAATTTCCTTAAAACGCAAAAGCTGAAAAGTTGCCTGATGTACGTATAAGCTTTATTTTCTCCCATCATTTGTGTGAGTATGCGTGTGTATGTATCTGCGTAGGTATCTTTTTTCGAGAACAATTCGAACGACTTTGTAGCACTGGCATTGGCATTCGGTGTGCATTTGAGAACTATGCAAATCTTTCATTAGACTCACACTTCGATCCCGGAACTGATTGCCAAAGTTGAGCCGCTAGTAGCGCCTCTCGGGCGGGCTGAAAACGCTCTGGGGGAATGGGGCTAATGGGGTTAGTGGGGTCTGACCTTTCCGACGCCGCAGGCCAACTCACTTGGGCCCGCTTCAGAATCGAGTCCTTGGAGGCATCGTAGGGCTGCTGCTTCGAGGGAATCTCCAGCACAGTGGGCACGGCCAGGTCGTGGGCATCGACAGTGGGGCGAATCAGGTCCGCGTACACCTGGTTGATCAGAATGATGGCTATATCTGGCCGCCTCAGGAACTTCTTGAAACACGCCTCAATCTGGCCGGGAGTCGTGTCTGCAAATTTAATAAAAGCTTGAAGTTTAAATTATAAAGTGGGAACCTGCACAACAACAGTGACGAATAATCAACATATATCTTTCATTCAAGACATTTGAAAATATTAATAAATATTATAATATTTGTTGGAGGGATATATATTAGTTCTCAAGATATTACCCTTCTCCACGACCATGAAATTGGTCTCACGATCCTCGCCGACTTCTCCAATACCACCGAGCAAGAAGCCGACACAGGTGTCCTTAGTTGAAAGAGTAGGGATAAATTTGATTCTTAAATAATACTGCAATCCACACAGACCTCATCACCAATAACGGCCATAAGACTTTCTAGCTCTTCCGAATGCAAAGACATATTTTTAAAGTTTAAGAAATCGGCCACACAAACCCTTGAAAGTAAATGCTTTGGCCAACTGATGCAAAATGCTCGTAATTGAAAAAACATTCATTTGTCAAAGGGTTTGCAGTAAGTAGATTACCGCAATAAATAAAAATACATAAATCGCATTTATTCCCGCCATCAAACGATGTTTGAATGAAATATAATACATGTGCATCTGCCGCCGATGACAAAACAATTGTGTGAGCGAATTGGATGTGGAAAATTGGGAGCAGGAACTGAAAAAGGGGAAAAACTGCACTTGACAGCCACGCCGCATTTGATGGCAAAACGCTGGCTGCACTTCGCCGTTTGTAGTTTTGTCAAGCGTAAAACAAGTTTTATAATTGTTTAAAATGTTTGCTTTGCCGCTGTCCATTGCAGTGCAATTTTATAACGAATTTTTGTCAGTTGCTGCTCAAAACTTAATCGAAAACAATGGTCGGCTGGCGGCGAATTGTGTGTCAAATCGCTGGTTCCCTCCCTTCGACCCCGCCGTTTACGTAATGCCGACAGCTCCTAATTGGATTAGATAACTTCCCGAAGGGCTGAGCCAAGAAACGCATAAGCCTCCGCCCACGAACTTGGCGCACATGTCACCTTTGTGCCCGGCCCATTGTCTCCCCTCGGAGCAAATCGCTCCAGATCTCTGGCCAAAATCCCAGCCAGCCGGTTATGTGCACCAAGAGGCCATTACGTAGTGCATGGCAACGGCAATCCCTAAACCTAAATGCGGCTAATTGCCGGGCACGACTTTCGACAGACCAGCTGCCACTTGATCCCAACACAACACTCAACTTCGGTTAACATTTTTCGAATCAGCTCTAATTGTTTACAGTTTATAGTTTACATATCAATAGCCATTGTTGTTGTTCCCGGCGTGTGGCATAACTAATTATGATTAATGCTCCAAAGCCAGCCCCTGACATTTGCCATTAATTGACAGTTGGAGCAACAGCTCAGACACATGCACAGGAAGAAATACACGAAATTTTAAGATTTTTAAAGCCCTCTGTTTGGTCTTTTTAATGTTGGGTAAGCTGGTAACATAACTATATATATAGAACAACAAATTGCAGTGAGTTGCAGTGAAATTGAGTATTTTATATTCTATTTAATTAACCAATCTTTAAAATAAAACGAAATTTTAAACTAATACTAAATTATTGGGTTATATGATTGGGATAAGACAATTTTAAATACAGTGTTAAGTAATTCTATACGGTTTCAGAAATTGATCTGTAATTTGAAGATTGAATTTTGTATGGCAATGTAGGTATTTTTGATTACCTTTTGATTAAATGTTGCACTTAATTTGGTAATACTTTGACCTACAAGAAATCTCTTTCTGTGCACAAACGCTCCCCCCGAGGTGCATTGAACTTTCGGCTGAGTGGAAAAACTGTCATTGCACACACAGACCGACAATGAAATTGCAGCCGTACTCTGCACTCTCCACCGCAATCCCATATGAACTGGAACCGAAAACTCAAAGCCCCGAGCCAAAACCCAATCGAAATCCCATCCCAGCCAAGCCATCGATGCTTTGGCCCGCTGACCTTTTTCCACACATTGCGATTGCTAATGGCGGAGCCACCGAAATCCAGCGAGTTGGCCAGCCCCGAACTCACAACCGGCAATTCATGCTACCGGTTTTAGTTTATTGACTACTGGCAACATCAGAAACAGCAGCAACAACAGTTGCAGCTACGCCAGCAACATCATCAGCAGCAGCAGCAACAACGGGAACGGCAACAATGTGTCAAATGACTTTTGCTGGCCCGGCTTCTTAAATATGGTCATGGCGGCATTTAGTTTGCTGCGACTAGAAATTTTCACTTATGCTCGGCACGTTTTGCCTATTTTCCCTATTTGGGTAGCTGGAAATTTTAATTTTGATTTCGAGTGCGGGGTTCTGGGCTTCCCTTTTTCGACGGGTTCCCATTTTCTCTTTTTGCCTAGTCTGTGCGACACGCATGGGGCAAGCACTTTGGCTAGAATTGTATTTCCAAAAAAATACCTTGATAAATGGGGGCAAGATTGATATAAGTCAAAGCACTTAAAGTTGCTTACGTTTTAGAAGAACTTTTAAAGTATGGAATTTCAAAACGTTAAAATAAACTGAATACTGGTCCACAAATTGATAACATTTTACAAATAATATAACACTGAGAAAATAGTTTCGAATCTAATAAAAAAGATTACAAAATTGAAAATTATAAGGACTGTCAGTCAGTTTAAACGTATATTTGTGCTTGTTTTTGATCTTTAATTTATATTAATTATTTTGTTTAATTAATATCATTTATTTTTTAGTGGTATTTGCTGTAATTTTTTTGCACTGCAAAACAAATATTTGAGGATCCCCAAAGAATACCCTACCTGAGGTTCAGATTCACAATTTCGTGAATTTTTCGTGAATGCGTGGACTTGACAGCCAACTCACTCATGCATTCAGAAGTCATTCGCTCAGCAGCTGTCAGCTGTGGGATCGTCGGTTGGGTTCCTCGGATTGAACAATATCAGATGGGATATCCCCAGCAAATTCTTTCTCCCCCGTCGTTGGCTCTCACGATTGACTCGAGATGGTGCCTTCTGGCCGGGCTTCGGCGGGTCGTTTCTGCCTTTCGCCCTTCCATTTCGACGGGGCCTGAACTTTTGGAAGGCATTTGGAAGCGTGGCTAAGTGCAAGCACGCCTCTTATTTATTTAGTGCTTAAAATACCATAGCATTTGCGGGATTATATAATCGAACCTGTCGCCGCCGCTGCTCGCATGCACATCACGCAAATCAAGTCAAACCGAAATCCGAAAAAAATTCGCAATACGCTTTCTTCTGAGCTGAAATGAATCGAAACGAACCGAACCGAAATGAAATGAACCTTTCAGAGCGCGTATCGCTGCTTGTGATGCTTTCTGCCGCTGCCGTTGATTATTCAACAATTTTTATTGAAAGGTAAACAGGCGCTCACCGGAGTAGGAGCTGTAATCACAAGAAAGCCATGTGCGAAATGTCAAATGCAGGCGAACGAGAGGCAGTACATGACATCGACATTAACGTCACGGCGCCAACATCGGCCGATATATCTCACTGCCATTCACTTGCCGGCACAGCACTACATTACTACATACATGCACTCTCTCTGCGCGAATGCCAATCGGTTGGGCTGGAAAATAAAATTAGCATAATGACAATATAATAAACAAAGGCAAAGGCTTCGTCAGCACTGCAAACCGCAAATGATCGCTAGCCGGGCTGGCCAGCCCATCCAGAACTGCGGAATGGCAGGATGGCATCCGGAAGTGCGGCTTTGGCATCCCGCCCCACATCTAATTGGTAAAGGTTCGCTGCCCATGGTCACCGACCCCTTGCGCGAGTGCCTACACGAGGCCAAACGGGGTAAAATAACAACATTTGTATACCACCAACCTAGAAAATATATTTTAAATATGGCAATAAAGCATGGGGTAATAAATTAGTCTTCGATGCAAAGATGCACACTTGCGAAATTTTTATGTTATGTTCATGATTGGTGTTTTTTAATAGACATTTCTAAGTGGTATTAAAAGGCAACGTGGGATATACAATGTATTTTTAAAGTTAAACAAGCCTAGGCCTTCTTTTTGGATTTAATATATTAATTTAAAAGTGGTTGAGATAGGCCACTTTTTCTGTAAAATAAATCTATTAAATAATTTTGGCAAAATAAGCAAGTGTCATAAAAATCTTAACAAAATAATTTCAGTATTTTACATACCTATCTAAGAAACGTATGCGTAAGTATTCGTGGAAGTTCCAATACTAAATTATTTAATCTCTTTTATAATAGACTGGAAATTTTAAGAAATATGTAATAAAGAATGCGTTTTCAATAACAACTTCTTGACATGAATAATTTTTTCCCCAAGCAGTATGATTCATTCAGTGGCCCTCGTATTTTTGCGCAGTGCACTAGCCAATTGCGCGGGTGTTAACTGTTAATGTGCAGTTGGTTATTATGCAGGACCGAAGCCAAAAATCGTGTCAATGCATTGAACGCAGCTCTTTGGGTTGATAACCTCTGCTGAATGAATCGAGTGTGGAAGACCCAGCCCCTGCCCCCTCCCTCGAATTTGTCGATTCCATTGACGAACTGGGTCACCATGTGGCCGCCGAGTTGGCTGGCTGGCGGCATTTTGGCCTTATTGGGCAAGCCGGGCTAGCGGGAGTTGGCCACCAGCAAAACCGTTAATAGAAATGCATTAAAATCAAAGCGTTTTGGCGTTTGTTCCAATTCTGAGAGCATGCCGCACATTAGTCCCGAGTAATGGCCGCCTGCAAATCACGCCACGAATCACAATTTATCAAAAAAACGTCACGTAATTACCAGTCGACGCCAACTACGAGATACATTGACAGTTGTCGGATACACGCGGCGCAGACTTCTTTCTTTCCGAATTCCCAGCAGCTGTCTGCCTCCGCCGGCAGATGCGTTTGATTTGTGTGCTCCATCCCGCCCCTCAGAACCGAAAGCCAAAACCCAGAGCCCAAAGCCATTGCCTCGTCTTCCACAGATTTTGTGGCTTCATTGTGCTGTGTCTTATTTTGTATTCCAATCACAAATGGCGTTGTCAAAGCGGCGACGATGGCGACGCCAAGAGTTGTTGCCAGTCCTCCAAGCGAAAACAGTTTCTGACACAAAGTGTAGGAGCCCCAGAAGCCAAGAACCGATCGACACGTCACTCTCCACGGAGTTTTCGACTCGAAAGTGGGCCCGGGGAGCCCGGTAGGAAGTTCAAGAATGGAATAGCAGCTGCTCCTCCATTTGCGGATGGGAGTGCTGCATTAGAAATTGCCCAGACCTGTAGCTACGTAAATAGCATCAAGCCTACCATCTCAATATTTTGAAAAAAACCCACATAAATTCTTATGGAACTATTAGTAATATGACCTCTTAGATTTCTCAAATTGTTAAGTGGTTTTCTGACTTTTAATGGATAAATTGTGTAAAAGAAAATATTGCATTTAAATATTTGT